ATATTAAGTCAATAAAATTTACCCGAATTTCAGAATCGAACGCTAAATAGCTACGAAGACTAGATTTGTATAAAAATTATTGAAAATTGAGAAATCCGCTGTTATTGACAAAAGCCGACGAGGTTAAAAACGAATCAAAAAAAAAAATCGGTCGATCAGATGAGTTTAAGGATGTACTAGCTAATTAAAACTGGAAAAAAACTAAGTCATACAAAAGTACGTACGATGAAACCACTTCTGCCATATACTACTTCTCAAACAGCTTCAACAAGAACAATTTCAACTTAACAGAAGTTATTAACGAACACCATAGCTGATCATGGCAGCAGATTTCTAACGTCTACTGCATCTCAATCAATGTCTCATAGAACGTATCAGTAAATCTAAACGCTACTCGTAACTTTACCGTGTAACTCAACACATAAGATTAGCTACGGAAGCCAAAGATGCCCAATTTGATGCAAATGGATGAATCATTTCAATGTAACTATGGCATGCACATATGTTTCCCGTCGTGTCCTGAACAGCTAATAGCTATAACTATTCAGGCTTTAAGACCACTACGCGCGGTACCTACGTGACGTCCGTCGTACCTAATTGGCCTGTATGTGCTTTGTGCTGTTTTGGGTGCTAGCTTCATCTGTGCCAGCCAAACGATGCAAACGAAAACCTACAATGTCTGTTAAGAGCCACCTACATGCACGTAACTACATACAAGTTTAATGCAAATTACTTAAGGTCAACATCATACGATCGTGATAACTGCGGTCAGCAGCTGAGGCGAATCCTATGATATAATAGTAGACATACGTACACTCACACAGAGACGTTCCTCTACGCAGATGGCCTATGCAGTGTGCACGCAGAGTACGAGGTCCAAGCATGATACTGCTGTGCGGAAAAGGGAAAAATGTATTCGATAGTGCTATGTGTCTTTTGAGACGATAACATTGCGCGACAGCCATGAATTATCATCATTAGCCGATGGATTTCCAAAGTCAAATTTTACAGTTGTAGAACGTTTACGGATGATGTAGCCACTAACCTCTTCTATTTCAATTTATCGATGAAAACGGCCCGAGGGCAATCACGGGTACTAATATCTAAGCACTGACCCAGGCCAGCCGTTACGCTTGCTTTCGATAGAAAGAATAGGTACAATGTCTTGTACACTCACACTTACGAATAGCGTGACTGCACATATTAACATCCTTACAAATAAATAGACAATGGCTCGCACGCTCTTATTCTGTACCTCTAGAATTGTCGCTCCCCATCTCACCCGGCGCCATATTTCGTATCCGCTGAAGTTCGTTGAGGAGGTCGATGACACTTGGTACTCCGCTCGTCTGGGCCTGTAGTTCCGACATGTCGGCAAATTGCACCGCACCGAAGTTCACTCTAATCGCTTTCGCTTTTCAGAGTTTAAACAACAAATGTTAGCACGCCATTTTGACACTATAGTGATGACATATATATATATATATATAAATAAGATCCACGGAAAGTCGGTCTGCGCTATATATCTCCGTGTCCGGGATATAGAAAATGAATCTGCTTAACTCAAGACCGACTCGTAACGAGAAATGCCGCAGTTAAACGTGTGCCAACTAACGCTAGATACTATCTATGTCTTGATTGACTGAAAGCTTTAAACGTAATTTTGTAAATATACTATTTTTAAAACGAAAATATACTATTCAAACCTGTTTTTATACTGGGATGAAGTTTGAAAGTATTTGACAGAACAAATTAAAGCACGTCCACCGCGGTATAGTAGTTTTAAATGAGTATACAGGAATCGGCCACCTCTGAGCAGAATACTTGACGCGCTTCTGTTCTCTCTTCCACACGTACGGAAAAAACGTACGGATCCAATGTACAAGATATTATGGTATTTCCAATTCGCATAAGGCGGCAAAAGAGGAACTTACGAACTATTCTAAGTTCGACTTACAATGTCCCTTTTATGTTAGAAAGAAGATTTTGTAGATGATCCATGTTTGTGCGCCTGACCATGAATAATAGACATCGCAGAATTCTTTAATAAGGACGGCTTGAGTTCACGTTCTGCGCACGATGGAGCCCAGGATGTTATGATACTTCTACGTTATGCGATGTATCGTAGTTAAAGAAAAACGCTGATTCGAATCCGAGACTATGCAGCCGAAAGGGCTCAGAACTGGTTTCGGTGGTTCTGATGGAGAAAGCTTCGCCCCACCATCCAGATCATCAGAAGTCCACTCTAGAAACGCTAGACGACCACAAATGCTACGGCCGAGTAACCTTAGGCAGGCAAGGGCACGCAGCAATGGGTATTAATAATGTAAGGATAGCTCTCAATGACTACTCACTCCTTTACTGAATGTTAAGATGTGTTTTAGAATCTCTACATCAGGTAGAGGTGGAAAGAAATTGTTCTCGCGATAATAACAGACATAAACACGCGGCAAGACAGACTTGTGTTTGTGTGAAAATGCAATCTAACGGCAGCTTCAATTTATTTTCAATTCAAAAGTATGGCTGCAATGATGGCGCCGTGACGCGCTGAAGGGAATATAAGCTCGATAAGAAACAGTCCGTTGCGTTTGATAACGACAACCGGAATCACAGATGTGTTGGACTCATGTTAATTATATAATAATAGTAGTGATAACAATGATAACGTTTACCATAATAGTGAATCGGGGTTACAACAGCAGCATCTCCTAGAAGACTACTGCTACTAGTCTTATTTTCGAGTAGACTTAATTGTAAAGCAATGACTGAATTGAAAAAGGAAACCAGGATTATGGAGGTTATTATTAGCTGAGACATTTTTTCATTTGGGGAAAAATAGAACGGTAAAAAACTTACGTGTTGTATTGATGGTCCCTCCTCGTCGTAGCTTCCTGACACTCTCTACCTAATCTCTAGCTCCGACGGGGGCGGCGGACCAAATCCCGGAATCGTCAGAAAAGCTGCCATGGCTCCTCGTATCCCACTTCATATATTCTTCATAAAGATGCGAACGACTGCCAAAAAAAAAAGCGGGATCATACAGCATGAACTAATGGAACAGGTCAAGAAATGCTAATCAGGAATCAAAGCATTTGCAGCTATCTAATGTATTTCGTGTAAATCATAACAAGTTTTTGACATAACAACTGATCTACAAATTGTACCATATTGCCGATAGTTTATACAAAAAGTCCTTAAATGAATTTATTTTCATTTAAATGAATATGTCTCTCAACGTGACATCCCTTGTTCTTGATTAAATCCTAATAGCGAAATTGATTTTTCAATAGATAGATGTATTGAAAATTATCTATGAAATGGCAGGTGTACAGAGGAACGTCACAAGATTAACAGGTAATGCCTCATGACGGATGTTAACTTGTTGATTTTACACTTGGTCCAAATACATCTGACCATTCTAGATGGATCAACAGATCTGAGCACCTTAAAGTGTTTACATCAACAGTATGTTAGCTTCACGGAAAGCAATGTACCTCATATATGATAGAGTTTGCCGTCCGTCTCAAAAACACTACGTCTTCGGTAAATTTTGATAACATCAATGTTAGTCACAACTTAGATGAGCTAGCGTAATAAACGATGGTTCTCGAGAATCCAGCTCGTAACAAAAAGTATTTATTTAAATCTTCACACAAGGGGCTTATTTATTCAGATTACTCCATACAGCTTTAGAGTAAACTGAGGCACACATAAAATCGCTTGATACAATTAAGGCTGTGTCCTAGCTAGGCCGGTGTGGACATAGCAAGATTTAGTATAGCAAGGACATTTAATAGAGGCACCTGATCGTCCCCGAGAGCACCCAATGGATTTTTTAACTATGCACCGCTTTTGCCATACAATAAGAACGTGGTTTACGAAGTTGATTTATTTCATCATAGCCTGGCAGTTCAGTAGCATACATACAAAAGTGTCGTCGAAGTCCTCTGGCACAAAAGTAACACGGATCATCATGTATAATTCAGTATATTCCAGTACTTTGACTTCGTGCACATGGGTAGGCACTCTGATCAGTCGTCATCTGGGGCAATATAGCGATGGGGGGGCCGTTTCACCTGACATATATCTATGATGAGCTTCGAAATTTCGCAGCTCAGCGTCGTAACCGGCGTCAGCAAGAAAACAGATCGAAACTCCAGTCACTACATCTACTTCACTTCACTCAAACGTAAACGGGAACCCCCATTCCCTCTTGTAAGGTCCTCTTAGCTTCATCCTCCTAACAGCCACACGAGTTCCGCACTTGACAACACCTGACCCACTACCGCTAGCAGTAGCCACATCAGACGTGTACGATTACGGTTGGAGAAAACTTCAAGGGTCAAAAATAGGTAATGATGACCCTGATCATGTCTTTCGCTGTCTATTTCGGCGGCTCGGCTCTCTCTTGCCACGTCCTTTGCACCTTTGTTAATGTGAGGAAACGTACTCAGCAGAGCTCAAGATAGCCGGGTAGAGAAAAGGCGAAGTGTGATTTCTATCTGTGAAAATAGCTTACCTTTTATCCGCGAGCGTAAATATCGGTACAGCTTATCAGAGCTACCTGAGAAGTCGACTTTATGAGAAAAGGTGCATGCACAAAACGTGCAGGTTCCGGTAAACTCCAGTTCGACTCCGGTTCTGACGGATGTTTTAGTCCGCCATCTTAGATTTTCCTGCACGTCCTCGACACTTTCAACAACGAGCTCTTTACTGGCCTAGCGGAAGATGCAGCAGGCGCAATCAACAGCAGTCACTGTAGCGGCAACGGCAGCAGAGGCGCCGGCGGCGGCCTCAGTCGTTATAACGAGCCTCTCCCTCATTCCTCCGAACCCCTCTAAGCTCTCCTAGCGCCACAAACCGCCACTGTGTTCGGCGTTCGCTCAGTCTCAGCTTTGTACTCTCAGCGGACTGGATGGCACTTACTGGCGTAACGGCCAACCTCAGGGCTTGTTCAACTATGCTTTTTAACTTCTCCCTCTCAATGATGATACATATCTAGTCACAGTAGTAGCGACTCCGTTCTTACGGGCCGTTTGTTGTCCCAAAGTTCTCGTTGTCCTCGGTTCTATCCCTTGACTCCTTTAGCATCACAATCATAGGGAGGTAAAATGCAACCCAAGCCGGCGTAGTAGGAAAACAAGTTGACTAGACCTTTCTGGTAAAAAGGAACATCAGTTGGCACCCACAAATTCCTTACTTCTTGCGGACTATATATCGTCATTTGCGAGCCGGGAGAGAGCAAGGGGGCGCGCTGAAGTGTATCCGATTGGTAGATGACGGCGTACAGAAGGAGGAACAAGGCTTCATTTCGTATACGAGACGAGGAGCTGCAGGCAGCTGAATGAGAGAGAAGCAGAGCGAGACGTGGGGTGAGGAAAATGTTGCCAAGGGGAGTGTTATGCGATGGTCGTTTTCAACGGGGTCGGGTAGCAGCCTGAGCCAGGGTCAGGCGAAGGGGGTGCGGTAGGAAAAAGGGATGTGGTATGCTTGGTTCCATCCGTTAAGTCAAACTATTAGATGTTTCCTAGGAACGTCTCTTATTACCCAGAACAAACCCAGTTCATTAGCAGCGTATCTCATTCAGTTGGGTCAATCCAGTTCGGCGTATTAATGCCGTTTATGTATATGGCCCCCAGTAAATTCACTAACGTACGTAGCTTTTATACCCGTTTTTATATTTTTCAAATGTGGTAAAGTCGCAGAACCAATAGCAGCAGAAGCTGTACTAGTAGTAGGGAGAAGGTAGGGATAGGATACCAGTAGCTGGTTGTGGAGCAGAGCGGCGCTGGCTGCGGCTGCCGCCAGCGGTAGCAGCAGCGGGGAGAGATGAAAATACAACTTCGGAGTTGATTCCTAACCCCCCCCAAAACCCCCTAGCTTCTCTCGAGTCTCCTGATCTTCCCGCCGTGCTCTCTCTGCCCTTCCACTCACTGCCTGCGAGCTACTTGCCTCGCTGGCTGGCGGCCCTGTCTGCAAAAAGAAATAACGGGAGTAAGAAAGGGGGTGAGGTGAAGGGGGACAACGATTCGTGGGATGGCCGGCAGTGTTAGTGCGGCTCCTGTTGGTGGCGGTAGTGGTAGTGGCAGTGGAGGAGGACGACGACGATGACGACGCCGACGTCGAGGACCTCTCGCTTCCCAACCCCCCAGTCCTTGTGAGTTTGAGGGGTAGTTCGGGGCATTGAGGGGGAAATGAACGGCAGCTCTCACTTCACTAAACCAGCCCCTCACCGTTGTCCCATCCCCGTACCAGCTACCCAGCCTATGGCTGGCGGTTTGCTTGCCAAGCTAACCGGTCCCAAACCAACTAAGTCGCATATGTCGGTCGGTCGGTCGGACGGGCTTCAGCCTATAGTGATACGCCTCCACGTCTGCATGCCACAAATAAATGATCGAGAACGGATGGGTCTAGTTTGCGTGGGTTGCTGCTGTCGCTATCGTAGGCCGTTCTTTGTGCTACTATTGAACGATCGAAACGAAATGAGCTGCTACGGTGAACAAGTCTGACACAGCACTTCAAAGAAGGAAGAATATGGACCATCCTAAGCTAAGCCAGAAGTAGCTGTTCAGGCACTTGTGGTCAGGAATTAGTCTAATGAGAGGAAGGCAAGGCCTGCGCCACATGGTCCTAGATGTCAACGATTATTGTTATGTCTTCAGTCGGTCCACTGAGGAAGACAGCACTTTTTATTTTACGTTGAACTGTAATTGAAGAGGCGATACATATGCATGTCTATATGCAAAACCTCGTCAACTCTTTTTGACTAGGAAACAAAGACCTTTATAAAGAATTTAGCGGAGAGCTTGATCGATATAGGCTTAGATGAACATCTCTAAAACGTTATTGGTCACGATGAGGTATTCATGATGAATTAGAGAAATGAAGAATATTTTAAAACGTAGTAATATGGCTATGGAAATTTCTAGTCGTTGACCCGGGTTCGAGATGGCCAGACGTCGCCTCTTGAAACTCTCGTGGATTACCCTTTTTGCTAATTAAGTTGATGAATGCCTTTGTGGTATGAACTCCACACACGGCTTCTATTCCCAGCTATAAAATTATACGGAAATTGGGAAACAGATTCGACTGATGTGCAAAGCGGCGTCCCTATTTCAGAACTTTTTTTTACGATAGAAACGTGAATCTATTTATACGGTCTGGTAATGCCAAAGCGAATCTTCAGCAGAAAGTTCGCAAAATGATTTTGAGCCTTGTTATCAATAAGCCTTGAAATTAATAGAAGTTTATAAAATTGTGCTATAAAAATTTCATTAAGAAAATGGAAACATGTAAATCTTATTTTACTTTACGTTATAATATAAAATAGCCATCCGGATTCAGTAATATAGCCTTTGAACTTAATGACTTTTCACACAACTTATCGTCTCTCCTACGTGCCCGTATCACTGAGATAGAGAGACACACACACTATGTTAGGCTTTAACTAAAGAATGCTCGTACTCCTTTGGCTCCTGACGTGTCACGACACATCAGTTATCTATAGTTAATGATTTACTCCCAAAAAATACCATTGTTTGCCAACATTGGGTGTTGTAAAAATTATATATTAACCGCAATAGTTCTTGAAGAACGGCGCTCTGTGTTCGGGTCAATTCTGACCACAGCGAACTTTTATCTGTTCTATTCCTGCCACGATTTAAGAAGATATTTCGTATAGAACGAAGGAACTTCTGTAAGTTCTCTAACAACTTAGAAGAGGAATGGCAAATAGCGTAAGTTACCCATCGCTCTTGCATATTGCTAAATTTTCAACATAATACAACAATGGCTTACAAAAAGCCAATGTTTTACTGCAAAATGAAGCTCAATTATATTCACAGATAGGCCCTCTAAGTACATTTTCTCGTTTGAGGCCCCTAAACAGAATATTCAGTGTCGGGAACTAGTTCTTGATACTTTTAAGCATAAAATCTTATATTGAATTCGAGTATGAAGCAATGTGTTTCAAAGGTCCTGTCTATTAAATACGAACTAAAATAGGCTTAAACACAATTTTAGCTTTCTGTTAGACGTATTTAAAATGTTTCCATCTAAATAGAAAACCGCTCATCAGATTATTACTAATCGATTGTTTTTATATATTCTAGCAATTATCACGTAAAGTACGCATGAGTTCATTATATAATACCGGCCGTTCATGCGTGACTAATTTGGACCAGTCCCCTTTATGGAACAAAAACATTTCGTTACACCAAACAGTCATTATCTATTCTATATATATATATATATATATATATATATATATACTTTCCATGCTCATCTATGGAAACTAATATGTACTATGAATGAGTCTGTTATCTGTATATAAAACATACTCACAGTTAGCCTAGCTATTGAAAATTAACTATTCTTTTTTGGCCATGTACGACGCTTGGTATAATAAGTAAATCCTATAGCAAAATTCGATAGATTGTGCTAGAACTGTCTCGCTTCTCTATCGTAATGTGTATTAGAAAATGGCCGTTTTCCCCATACAGACTCGTTGATATACGGTAAGAACAATCTACCTAAAAACAATAAAACTATCTACCTTGATGGTGGTCGATCCACCGGCGCACCTCGACCCGCTTCCTCACTCACTTAAACATCCATTGTACCGCTGCTTCTGCTGTTAAACTTCATACGTTTCTATTCCGAGGTGCGCACATCAACTGAAGCTCGCGTCGCCTGTCTGATTGAAGCGACATTCAGCTTAGTCCTAGCGCTACTATCCATACTATACTATATATATATATATATATATATATATATATACATTCAAGTAGATGTCTGTCTGCTGCACTCTCCTTCTGGCAGATGGCTCGAATTCAAAACTCGCGCAGATGTGTGAGTCCAACAACAAGAGGAGAAGTTGGCGACGCTCAGAGAGGCGATTATTGAAGAAACGAATGAGCACCATACGAGTTGGGTCTGAACTGGTAGGCGCTTCTCGCCAAGAGGTAGACAAGGTGAAAAAAATAGTACCTTCGAACGAACTATACACGCAGACACACACACACACACACACACACACACACACATATAAGACTCAAACACATGTACGGGTAGTTGGGGTGCTTTACCAACCGTCGAATACAGAATATTACATTGCATATGGACTGTTGGGCTAAAATCTAAATGATTTACATTTTTCGCCTCATGATCTCTAACGATGGATGGCGATCGGAGCGACTTGGTCTGATCGTGACGCTGGCTAGTGCTAGTATTCGTTGTCGTAATGCCAGTGCCTACGACGGCTGGTCGGCAGTGTTAGCAGGAGGCTTATTCATTCAGACTCTAGCTGATGCTGCCTCTGCTGCAGCTTATACCCGAAAGCGATAAGGGTGGCAGCCATGCACTGTATATCATATAGGCCATTATTAGATATCATAGCATGTAGTAGAAAGCACAGTAATGGAGAACGCGGCTTGGCCTGCACTACGACCGGTTAATCAGGCGCATAAGAAGTAATGAGTGGATGACACGTCGAGTAAAAATCGGGTAAAAGACCGCTTGTCTGTCGGTCTGGTCCGATGGATGATTATGGCCACCGAAGCACTCATCAGATGTTAGATTATGGAAAAAGTCGTTCTGGCTGTAAAAACAGGTCGGCGCGCAATAGCAGTGCGTGTCTTGTATAAATGCTCTGGACCCCATATACACCGCGTATGCTAATGAGCTAAAATGAGTCATAATCTATGTTGCACTTAGAAAACCCCGTGCAAACTGTAGTATCTTTGAAAAGCTCACAATATTTGTATTACTGCTCGTACTGCGTATACGAAGAAAGCGGGTGTACTTCGCACCCTCGAAACCAATGTCTGTCTAACGATCATAAAATATCGTAATAATTCAGCCAAAGTCTTCACAAATGTACTCTGCCGCCCATTTATGTCCATAAACAAAATAGGTGCACGTACCTAACTTGATTGATAGGCCTGCAAGAACAATGTAAGCTGGCCAACAAAGTATTATGCACGAAAAATGCCACACAAACACTGTTTATGTTCTATAGAATTTCTACGCGAAAGCATATGTATGATAATGCGCTTTTATGTATGTACAAAATGTTCGATGTTGTTTGCTCGATAGTATTAGCTTAACTTTCACTCTTCA